TTTTTTGGTCAAGAGACGTTTCCTGAACAAGTTTAAACATGCAAAATTTTTGATTTTATTTTGTTAACTATAAGGTGGTCAGTTGGCTAGCATATAGACTCTATCTGTAGGATAATAAATATAGCTAAATCGGAATCATTTGAGGAACTCCAGTGATGTGGATCAGAGATGGAAAAAGTGTTGGTCATTGTGAAGGGGCAGACTCAAAATCCCCCTTTTCTTACCAGCTTACTGATTATGATGTTCCTTTATCGATTCCCTGCCTTGGCTCTTAACTTTATGGCCATACATAAAAAATAGCATTTGGCTTTTACATATCTGATTTCCTTAGTGTGAAATGCATGTAAAAAGCATGTGGTCACATTCAAAAGAAAGAATGACATATTACAGCTATTGCTAGAATGTGAATAGCATCATGTGGTTACAGTTTTTACATCTGCTTTTTATTTTCATTTCATCTTAGCAAAGGAGAACTAATTGAAGCAGTTTTTTCTTAGGGTCTGTGGTTTAACTGTGCATACCTTTCTGTATCCATCCTCTAACTCTCCAACAAATCAGTTAGTTCTTTCCACATAATGTAAATCCCACCATAAAATTGAGTGATGTACCATAATTTAGTTACCATATTTCTTGTTTGTAGATAAATTAAATTCCAGCTTTCTTCAAAAATATTTAGGATATAAGAGTTATATAAGCATTCAGTTTCTTAAATCCTTAGCAACTGGATTCAATAATAAATTCATTTCAGTTTGGCTCTTGTAAAGAACTGTAATTTATTCATCTTTCATGCAATCAGCCTTACAAAATCTAGAATTCAAGTTCATGGTGAGATTTTTTTTTTTTTTTGGAGTAGTGGTCTTTAGCAATGGCTCTCATTGACAAGAATGATTTCTTTGTTCTTAAGCCTACAAGTTTAATTGCATAGAAAGGTCCTCCTTAATTTTATTTATTTATTTTTTCTTAAAAGATTGATTCAATTGTATACAATTTGGTAAGGCTAACCAAAAATTAACAGACATATGTTTGAGGAAAACTGTAGTTATATTTATTTATCTCTTTTCTTGCCAAGAGCAGTCTGTTGCTGACAGCAACAATGAACTTGTTTTGGGTCTCTTTTTGTCTCAACATTGTCTACAATTGAGGAAATGTAGTACATGGTTTAACATGTAATCCTGAATGGTGTTTTGTTGTTCAGTCCAGGAATTTGTAGAGTTCTCTTAATAACAATGGTGTCCACTTGACCCCAAATAGACTTAATGTACTGGTTGAGAGCAGGCATCTAGAACATTTTTATGTGTGCTGGTGTTATGGGTTGACTTGTGTCTTCACAAAAAAATGTATATTGATGTTCTAACCCCTGTACCTGTAAATGTGACCTTGTTGGAAATAAAGTTTTTCTTTTGCTATCAATTAAGTTAATGAGGTCATACGAGAGTAAGGTGGGTCCTAACACTAATCCCTTCTGAGTGGTGTCTAGCACAAGGGGGATGTAGACCCAGAGATAGAGGCAAACATAAGAGAAAGACTCGTGAGGACCTCATGCCTATAAGCAAAGGAATGCCAAGAAATGCCCAGGGCCCCCAGAAGTTGAAAGAGATGAGGAAGGGTATTCTCCTAGAGCTGACAGAGAGAGCATAGCCCTGCCTATGGTCCACATTTGGACTTTAAGCCTCCAGAACTGTGAGACAACATGTATCAGTTCTTTAAAGCCACCCACTTTGTGATATTTTGTTATGACAGCCCTAGGACACTAAGACAACTAGTCACAGGCACAGACATCTTATCAACCATCTGCTCATTTCCAAAGCTACATAAGTACATATGGGGGCACGGGTTTGTGGAATGAAGAATAAATAAGTTACTTCAGAAGTCCTTGCCTCCAATGCTAACCTGTCAACCATTCCTGGTTAAGTCTGAGAAATTCCTCTTGCCATTTATGTTTTATAGATTACTTTGAAGTTTGTATTTATATCTCTTTGTTTTTCTCTATTAAGTTTCCTATGTAGTCAAAATTTCTTTCATTTCATGACAGCATTCCAAACCAAGATGGTAAAAATAATCTGCCTGAAAAAATTCTCCCTACTTTAAGTATAATCAGCCAAGTGATCCATCTGATGACAGGAAATAGCAGTAGCCTGTGGAAATGTATAGTATTAGCCTGAAAATATACAGAAAGCTGGTTTTATTTAGGCAGGTTTGCATTTGTATAGCCCCTTTATAGCATGCTTTATTTGTGTATCAGATAACTTATGAAGCTTTGAATAATTTCTTCTGTATTTATCTTTTGAAAATGAGGTTACTTAGCTTCAAAAACCTCTGTTGGCTTTGTCAACACTACAGATATTTTTCTAAGGATGAACTTAGAATCCTTGGCAATTAATTACTTGAATCAACAAATATGTATTGACCTCAAGGACAGTTCTCTTGTAGCTCTTTAGACATTCAGCACATATTAGGGACAGCTTTGACTGAATTATCCATAAAAACATTCCTGTGTGACTCAGAAACACACAGACGACAAAGTAATGGTGTGGGCAAAGAATCTGCTTAAACATTCTACCACAAGAAACCAAGATATTTCCTGATGATCATGAAAACAGATAGTACTTGTTGGCACTTTCATGTGAGAACAGAACCTCTCCTGGAATCACAGAACCTCTTGAATATGCTACTGGGTACTTTTAGCCAGAATCAGTGACTGCCTTTTTAGGCTCCCTCTTGGCCTAATTCATATAAGGTATCCTTCCATATTTGAACTATATGGGTATGCTGCCAGAGATTATGACTGAAGATGTTGCATAGTCTTTGGATCCAACTGTAGACCATTACATACTCATAGACTATTAGTGTTGGAAGAAACTTTATCAGAAGATATAGAGACCCAAGAGGAGAAAGTGACTTGCTTGAAAGTACAAATGGATGGGTACATAAAAGTACCAGGGATGGGAAGGGAGAGGAGGAAAAATTTCTAGATAGGTTGAAAAAAAAAAAGTATTATATATAAATCAGATTGTTAATGATTACCAGGGATGGGAGGGAGGGGGAAGGGGGAATTTTTGTTTGGGGGGCATTAAGTTTATGCTAATAGGTGGTGGAATATTTTGGAAAAGGATAGCAATACTGGTGGCACAACATGAAAAATGTAATTAATGTGCCTGAGCTGTAAATGTGGAAGTTATTACGTTGGCAAATGTCTTGTATATGTTTCTACCACAATAAAAGTTAAAAGAAAAAAGTACAAATGGAAAATGTAAACACAGGGAGGAAGTGGGAAGAGTGCAGTTATACTGTGGGGATTGCAATCAGTGTTACAAAACAAAATAATATATGAATTGTTGAATGGAAAACCAGTTTGCTCTGTGAACTTTCACCCAAATTGCAATAAAAAGTTAAAAAAAAAAAAAAAAGTACACAGCTGATTACACTGGGAAAACTGGTAGTACAAAAACCGTTCTGAGTCTCAGGAATAATTGAAGTCAACACTTCTCAACTTTTCACACAGTTGTGCTTCGAGTTGTCAATCCCAGCCTTTACTTATTAAATTAAATCAGAATCTTTGGGGCTGGGTTGTTGCATTTTTTTTTTTTTTTTTTTGCAGACTAATAGGTGGTTCTAAAGCATGCTGGAGTTTGAAAACTACTGTTTCAAGTGAGTGATGAGGAAGTATAAACTAAGGAAGTGAGAAGGAGCAAAGGGGTTTTGCTAGAAGTAAACTGTTGACCATTCTTGGTGACAAACTGTATATGAGCAATGAGGGAGTGGGAGGATTCTGGCTTGAGGAACTTCAGCAATGGTCAGTTGTGCCAGTCACTGTCACGGGAACCCAGCAGTGGGAGATCTGTAGGAGAGAAAGTAGAAAGTTTGCTTAGTTTTAGATATAGGTCTGACTTACTGTTGAGAAATACTCATTTTTTATCACCTAGAAATAATATTAACTTTGGGAGAATATGGTTCTGTAAATACAAATATTGTTGATAATAATGGAATTCTTTTATCATATAATTCTTATTTTTTTCAAAGGACTTTAACTATATACTCAGCTCACATTTACTAGGTGCTATGATTTTTTTGCATGCCTCCTATATACTGCAATGACTTTATTTTTCCTTCAGGTTAGCTCCTATTATTATCATTTTAGAGATGCTGAAACTGAAGCTCAGAGTGGTTAATTGATTCCTTAAGATCATCTAGTCAGGCACGAGGTGGAGCGAGGATTCAAAACTTCTGACTACTTCTACTATCAAGTTCACTTCTTTTCCCAGTATTACTTAGCTACCTCCCAAAGCATGGATAGACAGTTTCCCCCATGTTACCTGATGAAATTTAAGTTCTGAGAAACTGGTTTGCTCAAGGTTTCAGATTGGTAAGTATTGGAGCACGGACCAGAGCGCAGATGCCTGTTTCTTGGCCACTGTGTCTGTTCTTCTGATGATTGCAGAAGTCGAGTTTATTTCCCTTCTTGTTTTATGTACAAACATTTCCCCCTCAAATAGGAAGATTTTTTTAAAATAAATAATTATAAATACCACTTTTCAGGGAAGAAATATTCTTTGAGAGCCAAAGCTAACCCTCAAGGCTTAGTTGCTTTGAACAGTGTATGACAGTACCTTTCCAGCCTGTAAATAAACGATTTTTTTTTTTTTTTTAAATGAATTAGAAACTTGTCCTTAAGGATGATGGCAAAAAGAAGGAAATAACTCCTGGAGAAAAAGTACTTCGGAACGCCAAGGAACAACGGGATCAGCAAAATAGGCTGAAAGAGATAGATGAAAAGTTGAGAAAGATGAAGGAAAATGTGGTAAGTCTTTTTTTTAAAAAAATTTTTTAAAATTAAAGTTGAATTGTAAGCAATGATTATATTTAAAAAGGTTCCAGTTTTACTTGACTGTTTTATAATGTGTTTACTCAATTAAGAAAACTGACATAGGAATTCGTCAGTAAGAATTTGAATAAAAGCTAAAACTGATTCACAGGGCTTAAACTATTTTTTTTAATTTATATAACATAATAAAATGTGAAATACTGTCTGAAGTCAGAATAATAATGTATAAGTCTAATATTCTGTGTCTGATAGGGACATAAAGTTTTTTTTGTGTATGGAAAATTTGTTAACTATTCTCCATAAAATCATCTTTATATATTGAGCTTATACACTCCAACTTTTCTTTCATAATTCAAAATATATTACTCATTAGTTAATTTGAATACAATTTAAATCTTTTTTTAGTCTATTTCATGTTTTTCTTGCTTACTATTTAAAACCATATCATTGCTGATGAGCAAAAGCTAAAAGCTCTTAAATCAACTAAATTGTGAACTGATGGATAGTCTGAACTTTTAGGAACATTGTGTAATATGATTTTATAGCTATTCAAAGAATGTTTCCAGCTGGATATTAAGCTTTTACCTAAAATTGAACATGACAAGGCTGAATTTGTGGTTCAGTCTAGCATCCTCTCTCCCAGGGTTGGTCTTACACTAATTGTCTTCAGTCCCCGCCTTCTGTCTTCACTGCCTTCTGTCTTCACCCCTCATGATTACACTCAGCTGAACTGCTCCTACCATTTGCCAGCCACCAACAGCACTGACTGGAGCCTAAAGGGTGTCTAACTCACTGCAATTGAGTCAGATCCGACTCATAGCGACCCCTCCTTGGGTTTCCAAGGTGGTATCACTACGGAAGTAGATTGCCCAACCTTCATTCCGAGGAGTGGCTGGTAGATATGAACTGCCAGCCTTCTGATTAGCAGTCACATGCCTTAGGCACTACACCACCAGAGCGCGTAAAGGATATCTATTGTTATTGTTTTTGTTATGTGCCATCGAGTCGGACTTATAGCGACCTCTCCTTGGGTTTCCAAGGCAGTATCACTATGGAAGTAGATTGCCCAACCTTCCTTCTGAGGATTGGCTGGTGGGTTTGAACTGCCAGCCTTCTGGTTAGCAGTCAAGTGCCTTAGGCACTATGATACCAGAGCTCCTAAAGGATATGTAGGGCTACCTAATAAGAGTAAAGGGAATGAAATGCATTATGCTTCTATTTATAATTCATTTTTGTCTGGTTTTCATAGGAAATTTCATGGGAATTAAATTTTAAGGAGACCTCTATTTCTATTTTATGTGGTATTTTTTTTCCCTTAAGTCTGTTGATATAGTAAGACGTAGAAGTAGAAATGTTTAGAAAGTATAAAGAGACTTTTGGTCAATAGTTGTGGTGGTGGTAATAGGGCATTGCAAATTTGATGTGCTAAATAAAATGTTTGACTGGTTTTGAAACTGTTGGCTCTGCTGATCCTTGTCATTCTCCATAATTCAGTTAGGATTTTAGACCATTTATCACATGTCTTAAACATGTTTCCATTCTTTCCTACCATGCCACTACTACTCATTAATTTTTTATTCAAAACTTCATCTTTTAAGAAATTCTAAATTTCATTTCAGCACCATATAGAGTTTGTATACAATTAAAGGGATATGGATAAATATTGAGAGTTGGTTTATATCTAAGTGGAAAAGAATAATTTATAAGTAGCAAGAGCAAATTATTGAGTATCTTCCATGCATTTGGCACTATTAACTCTTGTAATCTTCACATGAGTTAAATACTGTGCGATTAACACTACCATCCTTATTTTATAGTTGAGGAAATGGAGGCAGTGAGAGGTTAAAGAAGTTGTTCAAAGTTATACAGCTAGTAAGTGGAGGAGAAGATAAGAGGCAAATGGTTTGTTTTTAAGTATTATGGTCTATTGTCTTTCTGCTTTCTGCTATTGTCTTAATGCTTTTCTTTTCATTATCAATATATTTTTTGTTTATTAAAATGTGACAAATTTGTTATAACCAATAATATTCATGAGTGAAATTTTGGAATCCCTTTTATAAATTTTCATTTCACAGTTTTCTGTTTCATAATCAATACTTTCAGAAACTGGTAAAGGCACATGCATGTTGATTTGTATTGTCTTTATGTTTTAATTGCTTAGTGTTTCATAATATCCTGTAGAATCATGTATACCATGTGACCTTTTGAGGGAAGCCACTGTGTATAACTGAAACTCTGTAAAGCCCATTGTACATCATAGACTTCTAGGTCCTTTGTGTATTAGTAATCAAGAGACCTGAGTCCTTGTTTCAGTTTTATCAGTGACCTTGAATACATCACTTAGTTTCTTGGTTATTTGGTTTCTTTACTTTAAAAATCAAGGAAGTAGGATTAGATGACCTCTGTTCTTTTTTCCTTTGATTCTTGGCATACTTATTTTTAGTGAGAGATTATGTTACTGATACAGTGTCTCAAGCTCAGTTTGTGTGATTCCTAAATGTTTACTATTGATTGGCTTGAATTTTCTACTGAAAATTAGATCATTTTATTATTATTATTATATATTTTTTATCGTGCTTTAGGTGCAAGTTTACAGAGCAGAGTTTGTTTTACATTCAACATTTCGTGTACATTTACTGTCACTCCCCAGTTACCATCCCCAAACCTAACCCAGTCTCCCCACCTCCCTGCCCAGTAACACCACTCCCCCCACCCCCGTGCCTCTCATAGTTATGCACTCTGTGTGTCCTGCCTTTCCTCCATGCGAATGTTGCCCCACTGGTGCCCTGTGGTTGATTGCTCCAAGGGATGCATCTCCATAGAGTATGTAGGTGCGTCACCTTGGGTTGAGTGGTCTGCATGTACATCTTGTTTACTATTGGGCTGAGGAGCCAGCCCTGGGATTGAGTTTTATTCCAGGACCAAAATGTATTCCAGGGCCATAGTGTGAGGGGTCTCATCAGTCTCCATCTGACCAGTAATTCTGGTCATTATTGAGTTTTTGGATTTTGTTCCACGTTTTCCCTCCCACTCTATCCAGGATCTCCAGTTTTGGTCCTTTCCTGAGTGGTTGGCATTGGTAGCCGGGTACCATCTAGTTCTGGTCTCAAGGTCCATCATGTCCTAGGGCTGATTGCTTCCAAATACCCTTGGTTTTTTGCACTCTTCTTTGGTTCCAATGATAGGAGACCATTAGCTTCATCTTAGATGGCTTCTTGAAAAGTTTTAAGACCCCAGTCGCTACTCACCAATGTAGGCTGAGGAATAAGATGTTTATGTGTTTTGTTGTGCCAGTTGAGTCTGGTGTCCCCCAGTACTATGGTCCTGAGTTTGTAGATCCATTGGAGCTCTCTCCCACAGTGTCTGGCTGTCTGTGAAGGATTACTCTATGTCTGTCTTCTGTTGTTTCTGTAAGGAGCGCAGGTATTTTGTATCACTGGTGTCTGTGCAAGATTAGCCTCCGCTGACTCTATGCTTGATCTAGAGTACAATTCTGTTCACTGACCCCACCTGATCATTTTGGAGCCTTAGTAACACTCTTTAGGAGAATATGAAGTTATCTTTTATATAAAAATTAGCCTACTAATCTATCAACTAGAGAATGTTTTCTGAGTGATAACTTCTGAAAGCGGGTAATTTTGCAATTTTGTCTTATTCTCCCTCCTGCAATGGGCCATGATCTCAAGATAACTTGTTTGGGTAAGAGAAGTAATCTATGGCCATAGAATTGGTAATTTAATTATCAAATATGTATCTGGGAATAGAGATGGAAAGGGGAAAGTGTGAGCTAAGGGGCAATGTAGGAGTCCTGTACTCATGGAGCCACTTGGATGCCAGGATTGATTTGTCAGTAAAGGGTGGGCAAGGAATTTAATTTTATGTTTCAGATGGTAGGCAGGGGCTGCCAATGCACATTTGTCTTGGTCAAGATTGGTTCAGAAAGTGAGATTCAATTTAGATGTGGTGGTGAAGTTAGTTAGATGGATTTAGCTATTAGGAGCTAGGGGAAATAGATAGACGTAATGAAATGAGGTTAAGGCTACAGTCTTCTGCAAAAGACCTCTTTAAAGTGTTCAAAAGCAAAAATGTTACTTTGAGGACTAAAGTATACCTGACCCAAGCCACGGTATTTTCAGTTGCCTTATATGCGTGTGAAAGCTAGACAATGAATAAGGAAGCCAATGAAGAACTGATGCATTTGAATTATGTTGTTGTTGTTATTGTTGTTATGTACCGTCGAGTCGGCCCCGACTCATAGCGACCCCTCCTTGGGTTTCCGAGGCAGTATCACTACGGAAGTAGAATTGCCCAACCTTCCTTCCGAGGAGTGGCTGGTGGGTTTGAACCGCCAGCCTTCTGGTTAGCAGTCAAGTGCTTTAGCCACTATGCTACCAGAGCTCCTATTATAGTGTTGGCAAAAAATATTGAATATAGTGTGAGCTGCCAGAAAAGTAAACAAATGTGTCTTGAAAAAGTACAGCCAGAATGCTCCTTAGAAGCAAGGATGGCAGGACTTTGTCTTATGTACTTTAGACATGTTGTCAGGAGGGACCAGTACCTAGAGAAGGACATCATGCTTGGTAAAGTAGAGGGTCAGTGAAAAAGAGGAAAACCTTCAATGAGATGGATTGACACAGTGGCTGCAACAATATGTTCAAATATAGCAATAATCGTGAGGATGGTGCAGGACCGTGCTTCACATCTCTTTGTATCTCCCAATGTCAGTTTTCTGGGAGATGTGTTCAAGGTGGGTACTCAAGTTCTTGTGGTTTGGGCCAATCTAGCATCCATAAAAGCCTCATTCATCTTAACCTTAGATCACCATGGCACCAACACAATATGGGATATAATCCCTTATGACCATGCTGCTAGGAGTGATATTTTGGTTATGGATTTGTTTACTTAGGTGGCAGTGGTGTGAGTAGGACAAGAGGGAAGGTTCAGGATGGAGTTTTTTTTCTTATCAAACTCTTGTG